GTGAAGTCAGAAGGGATCCTGAGTCACTGCCCCTCCACCCTTAATCCCTGTCCCAAAGCAGTGCTACATCTGATAGCACCCCTGCTCCTCTGCCATCTCCTTACCCAGGCACCTGCTCCTGGCCCCGTGTGCCAGCCAAGCTCCAGACAGGGCCAAATTCCCACTCTGGCCAGGAATAGAGGAAAGGAAAAGGGACAGATAAACCTACAACATCTGCCAAAGACCCCTGTTTGGGAGTGCCCAGATCATTCTTTTTGTTTTGCTCAGGAACAGGCTGTCTGGGAGGCTGCCACTGGGGACAGACACCCACGTGCAAATACACAAATGCACAAATTGCTCCTGGGCACTGAGGTGACCCTGACACAGAGACACTGGCAGAGTTACCTGCAGGGAAAGCATCCTGCTGCTCTGCTGCACACCAATTATCCCACCAACATTAAATGGCCCCACCAGCAGCCCCTCCTGCCCCATGGTGGGTCTGACCAACCCTCCCTACCCAACGATGCTCACAGGAGGCACCTGGCACAAACCTGACATGGTTTTCCAGGCTCCAGCCCAGTCCTGAGCTCAGGACACCTGGAGCCAGCCCAGGGGACCCTGTGGGTGCTCCTGGTTCTGAGAGGCTCTCAGGAAATGGTTCAGACTCTCCTGGCACTCTCAGGGCTGCCCCAGCAGCAGCCTGTGGGCCAGTATCGACACGCTCCTGCTGCCAGGAGCTTCGCAAAACTGAGCCCTGGGAGGGAGCTGAGCTGAGCACAGGGAACACAGCACTGAGGAGGCTGCCAGCTGAAAGCTGCAAGGAGTTGAGAAGCTGAAGGCAAAGCCAGCAAATTAATTGAGTTCTTTTATGCAAAGTGCAAGAGATTATTTTCATTGCATTTCTCCTGACTTCATTAAAAAGAACAAAAGCCCATGGGGTTTTTTTTTTAAGGTGCTGTTGAACATTTCCGAGGTAATGTTTTAAATGAAGACTAATATATTACCAACCCCAGCACTTAACAACAATGGAAGCAGACAGGATCCCCAGGGGAGCATTAATCTGGACACCAAAAGGGAAGAAAAATGTAACAGCTGAAGACATCCTGACAGCAAGCAGTTTAGACACACACGATTCACAGGTCAAGTGGGAACAAGCACAAGGAAACTAAACTTTTAGAGAAGCTCCTGCACATCCACCATCAGACTCTGAGAAGAACTGAAACAAAATTGTTCAATTAATCATCCTAAATGCTGAGCACCTCAGATGTGGGAACCTCATTTTAAACACTGAAATGAAGCTTAAGGGCTACTAAGCACCTATTGTCTATCACTGAAATTACTCCAGCCAGTGTCCAGCTCCTGAACATCAGCTCTAAGCTGACAGTGCGATGTGCATGACAGAAATCCACCCGGAGCAAGAGCTTATAACTCCCAGTAAAACCAAAGACAACAAAGAAACTGATGTGTTTTGCCAAAAGAGATATATGAGAAAGTTTTGGCTTAGTTGTTGTTGGGCTTTTTAAACAGAAAAAGACAAGCTTTTGCAAATTGCTCCTCTTGTTCAGATTTCAGGGTCTGTTTTGCAGCCCCTCCCACATTTTCAGTGAACTTCCTTGGGGCTAAAAGCATCACAGGGAGCCAGGGACAGGGATACATCCCTTATTCCCTGCAGATTTCAAGTTGTCACAGTAAAACAACAGCATGTCACCACTCCTTGGGAATTACATCCCTTTTCCTATGACACCTGCCACTACCTGAGAAGCAATGCCAAAAGCCTTGACACAGAGGAAAACTTGGGATTTTCTGCATGATCAGACAGGTGACATTACTGATTTCACCAGCAGTTCCCTAAGCACAGTCTGCAGAAGAGCAGACAGAAAAGGTGCATTTTATGGATCAGCAGGAGACTGAAACAACCCAGGCAGTGCTCTGAGAGTAAAGTGAGCATTCAGGTACATCAGGGAGAAAGGATAATCATGAGGCAGAAATGTCCAGGAGAAGAAGAACATGGTTAAGGGCAAGTGTGAAAGCATGAAAGGAATAGAAAGTGAAAGCTCTGGGGCAGCAAGAGAGAGAAGACCTTCCATGCTGGAATCATGTCCTCCCACAGGAGGTGACCATCCCCACCCTGGACAGGAGGCCAGAAACACCTGAACCCCCCTGAGCAGTGGCTGGAAGGAATGTGAAAAAGCAGAGCAGTATTCTCTGCCCCTGGAAAAGCCGAGCAGTATTTTGTGTCCCTGGTAAAGCAGAGCAGGATTTTGTGCCCCTGGAAAAGCAAAACAGGATTTCGTGCCTTTGCAATGACACAAGTGCCTCCACCCCTTCATTTGGAAGGACACTTCCAATTAACTGAAACTTGGGATCACAAAAGCCAGTGGCCCAAAGAGGTCAAGTCACAGCCTTTGGATCAAAGCTTTCTGCTGGGTGGGAGATTCAGCCACGTCTGGCTCTGTGTGGTCACACATCACCCCCAGGCAGCAAGGGCCACACAGAGGACAGACACTAACTACAGCACGCAGCAGGAGATGCCTTCTCAACCCTAAATTCAACAAATCATCCCTAGATACAGACCCATGGCCACGTTAATCATTCCCCAGCACACCTCCCAGTCCTGCTTTGGTTGACTCAAAGTGATGCCAGACAATCCAGGGACAGCCATGCATGGCCCTGTCATACCCTGGTTCAGGCCTCTTCACAAGGCCATGTCACATCAGGAAATCACATTAAAACCCAAATGTCTACAGCCCCACTGCACTGACCCCCAGCCTTGCTCTGCTTCCCGTGGGATATACACAGGGTTTCTCTCCAAGAGGTACTGTCACAACAGGAGGGACTCTAAAGGTTGGGCACACAGGTCCCCAGGCAGCAGGACAGAAGGCTGCTGCCTCTGCAAGCCCCTGAGCGTGGCAAACATGGAAGAATCCCCCAAATGGCCTCTCTGCTCTTCTTGGGCAGCTTCTGGAAATCTGGATGCTCTAAACACATGTTGGAAACACAGCATGTGGCTTCACAGAATGGTTTGGGTCACAAGGGGACCTTGATGATCATCCAGCTCCAAACACCCTGTGGGGAGGGACACCTTCCACTGGACCAGGTTACTCAGAGCCCCAACCATCCCGGGATGTAAGGCTCCTGACCAGTGCAACAACAGCTGCTGTGTGCTGCCCCAAGTCCCCACTCTCAACCCTGGGGCAGGTGAGTGTGACCTGCCAGCGCTTGGTGACGTGAGAGCCCATGACCCTGCCAGCTTCACCCTGCGAGGCCGTCTGGAAAAACCCAACTAATTCCTCCCTGCCAGAGACTTGGGAGTAACTCAGCCTTTGAGAGCCCTCCATATCTCAGGTTTGGAAAACAACCAACCCTCCCTCCAGCACCACCCAGATAAGACTCAGCAGCACGGGGCAGTGCCGGTGGCACCGCTGCACCCACAGAGGATGTGTCGTGTCCCCGCACAGCCCCAAACCAGCCCTGGGGGAGCCGCCAGGGGAGAACGGGAGGGATCCCACTGGCCGGGAGAACGATGCTGTGCTGGTCCCACTCGTGCTCGCCGGCCCCGCAGCCAGCCCAGCCCCATAGCCAGCCCAGCCCCATAGCCAGCCCCGCGCAGAGCCGGCACCGGCCAGGATGCGCTCCCGGCGCTCGGGGCAGCTCCGCCCGGTGTCCCGGGAAGGGAGCGCGGGCTGCACGCGTGAGGAGGGCACCGCTCACCGTAGATCATGGCCAGCCCGGTCTCGTGGAGGAAGCGAGCGCGGCGGTGCTTGAAGAGCCAGATGGTGAGGATGGTGAGGGTGAGCAGCAGGATGAAAACCAGCAGGTTGGCGCTGTCCTGGCGGTGACTCTCCTCCGCCGCCTTCTCGGACACGATCTCCTCCTCCAGCGCCCCGGGACGCGCCGCCGCCACCTCGGCGCCCGCCGCCCCCCGAGCCCACAGCCCCGCGGCCGCCGCCAGCACCGGCCCCGGCCCCGCCATCGCCCCGGCACCGGCCCGGCCCCGCCGCCACCAGGAAGCGGCTCTGGGCGCAGGCGCCGGGGGCGGGAGCAGCGCCGGGAGCCCGGATAGGGACGGGCCGGCAGCGACGGAGCGGGAGAGAGGCGGCGGGAACGGCGGGGAGGGGGCGAGGGCGGCGCTGGGAGCTCCTGAGGCGGGGTTCGGGAGGGGAAGGCGGGCCGGGGGCTGCCGTGAGCACTGGGACGAGCCCCAGGGAACGGGATGCGAGAAGGGGGAAGGCGATCAGAGCTCAAAGGGGTTTGCAAGAGGAAAGAGAAATCCCCAGATAGGTTTGTGGCGGGGTGCTGTTTGTGCATGGGAGGGATGTCCTGCAGGACACACCCCGACTCATGGGGACACGGGGTGTCCCTCCATGCCTTCACACCGTGCCCAGGCGTGTGTTTGGTGCCAAGAGCCGCCGTCAGCCATGAAAGGGAGTCAGGGGAAACTTCCCACCTTTTTTACCAAGAAATAGAGGCACATGCGTGGAGCCCGTGGGTCAAGGGTTGTAATCAATGCCAGTGATCAACTTAAAGGTGACTTTTAGGAAATTTCCTCAAAGAATTGCCTTTGTGCCTTGGAGGCATGGAAGACCCAGGATGCTTGGCTGTGACCCTGGTGTTTCCTCGCTTTGCCCCAAGCCTGGCTCGGCCAGGGCCGTCCCTCCAGCACGTGTTGTGTGCATCCCTTCGCCCCGTTTTAGCTTGCACCGGTTTCTCAAGCTTCGAGGTTAAACAAGTGAAAAGTGGGAATTAACTTGGGTACCACTGACCCTACGCTCTGTTTTCGGCTGGAAGGGGTCCGGTGGAGAGAAGGGGCCTGTTCGGGGGGTCGATGGGCCCCTTGTCCCCAGGGCCTCGGGATCCACCCACGCCCTGGCATTTCATCAATGGCCCCGCGTGGGAAAGCGGCGGCCTGGCCCCGCCCCCTGGCGCTGAAGCCCCGCCCCCTCTGCTCGGGCGCGGCCTGGCCCCACCCCCGGGTGACGCCATCATCGCGCGCCGGGGCGCCCTGGCGGCGGCGGGCGGCGATGGCGGCGGGGTCGGTGTGGAAGGGGCTGGTGGGGCTCGGCCTGTTCGCCCTGGCACACGCGGCCTTCTCGGCGGCGCAGCGTGAGTCACCGTCGGGGGGGCGCCCCGGGGCACCGACACTGCCGCGCGGCCCACGGGGAGCTCCCGGGGCGGGGGCCGGGCCGGGCCGGCATCATCATCATCGTCCTGAGGGGCGAGCCCGCCCGCGGGGGCGGCCCTGCCCTTGGGGCCGGGCTGCGGGGAGAGCGGGGCTGGGCCGGGCCGGGCTGCGGGGAGGGGGGAGCGCGGGGCTCGGCCCGCAGCAGCCGGGAAGGGAGGGGAGAACGGGCGGTGGGAAGGGGGAGCTGCCCCGGCCGGGTCGCGGTTTCAGCGTGGCCTCCGCCGTCCCGCTGCCCCCCGGCTGCCTGCGGGGGCATGAGCCGCGCTCCGGAGCAGCGGCACCGGGGGCGGCCCGGGCAGGGTCAGGCTGCCCCGTGGCTCTGCAGCCGTGTCTCTGGGGGTTCCTGTTGTTGTTGGGCTGTTTGTTTTCGTGCACAGAGTGTTTGATGCGTGCCTGTGTTTCTGTTTTGTAGATCGTTCTTACATGAGGTTGACAGAAAAGGAAGATGAAACGTTGCCCATAGATGTAAGTTTTTGCCCTGTGTGAAAGGTGTGACTGTGGGGTGGTTCAGTCTCTCAATTGCTTCCTCTTAATGTGCTAGGCAAGTATAAAGGATAAAGCAGTTTTTAAGCTGCATTTTCACTGGAGCTCCCACTACCAGAAAGAACCATGTCTTTCATCTCAACTTCCTGAGTGTGTTGTAGTTGTCAGTGAAACCAAATCCAGATCCAGACCTCCCTCTCTTTTAAACAACCCTGCAGCATCTTGTCCAGGATTCCCTGGATGTGGCTCAGAGAGCTTTTGCATCCATGACCTCCTTTGCAGCATAAACATCCTGCACCCCCTGGCTCTGGGTGGCTGGCACGTGTTTGTCCAGTGTGGCTGTTTGATCCCAGCACAACCTGCTTCAGGAAGGGGGCTTTTACTTGCTTTATTTGCTTGCTTTTCAAATTTCCACTTCACTTATCTGTTCCCTCTCTGCTTAGTCAGAAGGGCAGGAAGATCAGGTGCCCAGGAGAGGCAGGCACGTGTTCCTGGCAGGAATTTGGGTCCTGGAGAGCACAGAACACAGGGTTTGGTCTCAGGCTCTTGCTGAGGAGCCGTGTGAGTCCATTCACTTGGTGCAACCCAGACCTGTGCAGGGGCAGCTGGAGCTGTGCTGTGCAAATAGGAGGGAATTTTAATTCTCCTGTGCCTCAGTTTCCCCACTGCTGGATTGCTCACCTCTGTTTGCTGCCCCTGGATGAAAAGCAGCAGAGATGCTGTGTGAAAGCTGAGGTTTTTGGTAAATGTGCAGAACAGCTGGTGATGTGTGTGTTGCCGTGTGCTCCCTCTGTTGCAGATAGTCCTGCAGACTCTGCTGGCCTTTGCAGTCACCTGCTATGGGATAGCACATATTGCAGGGGAGTTTAAAGACATGGATGCCACTTCAGAACTCAAAAATAAGTATGTTTCATTTCTTCTTTTTGTGCACACCTGTATCTGCTTCTCTGTCCAAACTGAAATCACTCACCTTTAGCTCAATGCATGCCATAGGCAGTGACCCCAGGGGAACAGCCACACTTGCAAAAGCCAACAGTGTCTTAAGTTTTAGGGAGAGTTAGGTAAGAGGCAGAAATCAGATAAATTTCTTGCTTTTCCTCATGTGAAATCCTGCTGTGCAGACTTGGTAGAGGAATGAAATGTGCAGGTGGGAAGTGGAGCTCAGGAATCACCACCTGCTGTCAGGAGCTGGTCTCAGACTGCAAGTCTGACTCACTGGAGTCTCACACAGTATATTCAAGGCAGGACATCTGAAAGACTTTCAGAAAATAAGGGATTTTGGGCCAAGATTTGGAAGAGGATAGTTGGTTAGAGCATGCCAAGGTTGTAGGTTCAGCTGCTTTATGAGCTGTTCAACTTCAGAGCTGGACTCAATGATCCTTGGGTGTCCCTTCCAGCTCAGAATATTCTGTGATTCTGACAGGAATTTGGATGGGCAGACATTGCCTCTCAGGCCATTTCCAAAACCACAGGGGAGTGAAAAAGTCACATAATTGGTATTTCAGAGTGTTCACCTAAAGCCTTTAGCATGAGGCTCCCAGGGGGGTGGAAAGCTGAGCACCATCAGGGTGGTGACACCAGTGACAGCTGAACAAAGGCTGGCATGTGGTGTGTCTGCCCCTGGGCTCCAGGGAGGAAGGGGAAGTTTGTCACGTGGACATCTTGTGGGCTTTTTCACAACTGTGCATTTCCTCACTGGTTTAGTTTAGGAAACTTAAAACAAGCAAGTTTGGATTGAAAATTGTATTCTTGTGTCCAAAGTCAGTAGGCCCCAGACTGACTGCTCTAAACTCCCTGCTCTGAGAGAGTGTTAACCTTGGCTTTTTGCATTTATTTTGAAGGACATTTGACACATTAAGGAACCATCCATCTTTTTATGTATTTAATCATCGTGGTAGAGTGTTGTTCCAGTCCCCAGACACAGTGAATTCTTCTTCAAACCAAGATGCTTTGTCATCCAGCTCGGCACTGAAATTTCGAAAACTTGAACCTCTGCGCCGCTAAGACTTTTCCAGGTGACACCAATAACCCAGGACACTGAGATGGAATATCCAAGTCGGGGATGTAAACACTTTTTTTAATTTCTGGAGCAGTATTTATATTGATCTTCCAGACTTTATAAAATATATATATATATAAATATATATATATAAACTAATGACCTTCTTTGTACACTGTTAATGAGAATGACTGAATTGTGGATTGGCAATGCAGTGTAAATTCTACAGTTATGCTGTGAAACACATCTTCAAAGTTTCAGATATTAAAACGAGTTGCAGCTAACTTAACTTCAGTTAAAACAAAAAGCAAGCTAGTTTTTCCTGCAATTAATGTTCTTTGACAGGAGGGAATGTTTGAGTGTATTTATTTTCTCAGTTTGCTTGCACTACAGTCTATGGATCCCCTCAGAAATGCTGTGTGCACTGCATCACTGAACAGCAGGAAAAGGGGCAGCACCTGATCCTAGAATGCCTGTGGGACACCAGCACGGTGTGGCAGGGGAACTCAAAGAGATTGCTTTCATTTTTATTTTATTTTTTACAATGCTGAGAAACAGTTGTGTGAAGGGTTATTCTTTTTTTCCTGGTTTGTCACTACCATGTTATTTCCTCATTGCCCTCCTTTGTTTCATGTGAGTTGCCCCAGGCTGCCTGGGCTGTGGCTGTGATTGGTGCTGGTGTGGGGAGGCCGCTCAGCTCATCTGCCACACTCCACATTCTCCAGCTGTGAACTGGGGAATGCTGAACGTTGTGTACGTGCTGAACATGGCACTGGTACCACGTACAACCTCCAAGGTATCTTCATATTTAAGTATCAGTAAGAACTGTCCGGGGGTAGGGTCCAGCAGCTTGCTCTGTTTGCTGGCACTAACCCAGGACAGCCACCCCTTTTCTGCCAACAGAGCCTTCCACCTTGATTTTTCCAGCTGAGCCCCTCGTTGATTTAATATTACTGTCTTGATTTCATGTATTAGAACTGATCATACTGTCCTTAACTCCTACTTATGTCTAAATTCTTATCCCCCCCTCAGGGGCTGAATCAATGCTAAAATCTCTCTTGGTCTGACTTTTCACCTCCCTGATGCAGCAGAGGGAGGGTAGGGTGAGATACTGGTGGGGCCAGCAAAAATTTGGCTTGGTTGGAGGATGTTTCACTGGCACAGTGGGAACTCAGCCTTTTGTCCTGGCATCAGTTGTGTTTGGTGGTTTTTTTTAACTGTTAAGAACTGTCAAAGGCAAAAAGCTTGGCAAAAATACTGTGTAAACCCAAGTCTCTTTTTCTAGCTCTGCCCGTCCTATGGAGTGGGTGCCCCAGTGCTCGAGCAATATCCATGGCTGCTGCTCTACAATCACTCTAAAGCATCTGGGTTTGATTAGAAAGGGTTCCTCTGCCAGCTGAAAGCATCTGAGCTGCAGGATGAGTTCCTAAAGTGTCCTGGTTCCCCTCTTGCTGGTGTCAGCACCAAAGGCCTCAGAAATAGTATTGGGTCATCCCTCACTGGGGACAGAGCTGTGCCCTTGGGGAGCAGGGCTGGCACTGAGGGGAGGCTGAACAAGGCCAGGTGGGGCAGAGGAGAGGCAGAATTAGCAGAGGGAGGGAGAAGCACAGCAGGAGCTCAGTAAGCACTGTCACAGATGGGTTCTGCAGCCGTGGTTGCACTGAGCCCCTTGCTGAGGGCCTTAGAGCAGAGCTGCTCGCACAAAACATCTGAGAAGCCTCATTTGTGCTGCTGGAAGGCTGCAGGACCTGCCTGAGCTGTGAGGTGCTGCTGGGACAGGGAGAACATCACCTGCTGCTCAGGGCAGGTCCTGCTGGGAGCACCCTGGGGCTGCCTCAGGGCCCTTCTGGTGAGGAGTAGCCTCACTGCAGCAGCAGCAGTTCTATCACAAAGCTGTACAAATTATTTTTTCTTATTGATCTCACAATGTCAAATAAAAATTGATATCCTTAAAGTGTTTGTTTGTTTATTTCTGACCATCCTGCATCCTGCTGCAGCAAATCCCTGGTGCATAACTATTTAAAAGTGACTGCCCAGCACTGACATGAAGTGATTGCCTTAATTATGGCAGCTCTGTGTGAGAGTGCTGTCTGGCCTGGTGTTCATTACTAGGAGATAAGATCAGAAGGGGGGGATCAAAATAGCTGCAAGTAGCTGAATAAAACACTGAGGAGGGAAATATTACCAGCCTGGGGATCTGCTTGCCTTTGAGGCTCCTCGTCATCCTCTCTGGCAGAGCTGACATATTTTCTGTCTTCAGTTTAACCACAGTAAAGGCTTTTCTACCATGTGCTAATGTACCCTGCCAGCCCACAGGGACAGGCTCCTGCACGGTCTGGTGTTGCAACAGTCACTGGGGGAAACACTGAGGCTGCTCCCAGGGCGGGTGATAGTTAAAATCCTGCAGTTGAGCAAGATCACTTTCCACTCCTTGGTCTGCTTTTCCACTGGGGGAGGTTGAAAAGTTAGCAAAGCACTGGAGGAGTTTGCTCAACTACAACATCCATCAGGATTGCACCAGAGAGAGCAGCAGACTCACCCCTCATCTGCTTTCTGTGCTGCTGCAGTTCTGCACCCAGCACAGCACACAAGGGGAAAACACCAATGAAACTGTCTGGGGAAGGGGGAACCTTCACCAGCTCCCAAAGCCACCTCGTGCTTACCTTGCAGCATGGGCTTCTTCACAGATGAGCTTCTCTTCTTCAAAAGCAAAGCAAGAGTGGAGCCAAGAGTTTCTTGAATTAGACTGGAGAGTTTCCAGCCTCGCCCAATGCACATTTACAGCCGTCACATCTTGAATTGCTTTGGCTACAAGCCCTGATATTTCTACTACATTAAATAGTAAAATAAAAAATATGTGCTGGTAATTTCCATTCATTGCTGAAGTAGCAGCTTTAATCTGCATTCATTTTGCTGGGTTTTTGAACTATTGCAGTGAGAGCTCAGTGGGGAATTGCTGAGGAGGGCAGGAGTCATTTACACCCTTGCAGGTGGGGGCATGGGGACCACGGTTTGTGTCAGAGATTTGTCATTCATGCAGCCCTTCTGTGTGAGGCTGGAATGGGAGTGCAGCTGGCAGAAGTGCTTATTCTAGAGGTCAGTGAGGGCTGAATTGCAGCACCACGTGTGGAAACCCCTCCTGGTCACACATCTGATGTGTCCCCTCTGTGTGTCCCAGACAGAGCCAAAGCTGCAGTCGGCTCCCATGTGCTCCACATCCCCACTGCTGCCCCAAGTGGAGCACAGCTTTCTCAGGAAAGCTGGCAGCTCACAGCCCCATCCAGGTGCTCTGGAGCACCCACAGTCCCCCTTGCTGAAGAAAGCAGGGAATTACTATTACTTTCTAACCCCAAAATGATTTTTGGCTTCCTTATCACTCGCTTCCCACGGTTCAGGTTCTGTCACACTTCACCACACTGCAGCAGATCTGCCCTTCTCCACCTCTGACACCTCCAGCAAGGACATGACTGTGGGGACATCCTCCAGCTGGGTACAGCCCCCCACCAAGGGTGGCACCATTTCTGCTCCCTTTTGCCACCTGCACCAACAGCAGCAGTTTTCCACCAGACAATTTGGGAAGGTTGTGGCTCACCCCAGAGCATCCAGGACCACAGTGCTGCCCCCAGGCTCCCTGTGGGAAGCCCCCAGCCAGGCAGGGAAGCTGCAGCTCTGCAGTTCCCTGCTGTCCCAGCCATGCTGTGCCAGACTGGCAGGCTGCCTGCAGAGGGGAAGGGCAAAGCAAGGCTATCTGGAATGTTAAACAAGCAGAAAAGACTTTGGTACCAGCTTTCCACAGCCAGAACTAACAGCAAAGGCAAAACACTCCTTGGATTTGGCCTTGAGGTTCACCTTGAAGCCATAATCACCAGGGGCAGAACCCTGGCGGAAATAAATCTGATATTGCAGCAGGTAAAAGCCTTTTAATCAACCCCAGCTTGGTCCCAATGACACAATGCGATTTCCAAACACTTCGGACTGCGATGAAAGCTACATCCTTAAAATGGCAGCTAATTAATTTTCCTGTCCTGCTAACTTAATCCTTTTTCCAGCCAAGAAAGGCAAATGGGAGTTCACAGAGCAGCGAGGCAGCCGGAGTCTGGCAGTGTGAGCAGGAACACAAGCCCCAGGGCTCCCTGGCAGGGACCCAGGCTGTGTGGTGTCACAGCTTCCCAGGCCATTCTAATAGGAAGGGAGATGGAAAAAAAATAAATAAAAGGTGACATTTGGATTATCAATGGCTCACCCTATGCCAGTGGTCCTGGGGAACCCACAGCCCCACACACAGAGAGATGTGGATGTTTATTCCCAGTTCATACCCCAGTGCTGCCACGCACAGCACCCAGCACTGGCAGTGCCCTCCCTGCCCAGACTGGTGCTGGCTGAACCAGTTTCCCCAGGATCTGCCTGAGGCAGGTTGTGCTGCAGGGGCATTTCACTTTGCATTTCAGAAAAAAAATAATAGAAGGGAAGAAAATATTCCCCTTCTCCCCCACGGTATTTCTGCTGTGCATTTTAGAGCACTTCAGTGCCAGACACAAAAGGCCAGTGCTGATGTCCCCAGAGCCACAGGCTGCTCCAGAATCCCTTGTCCCTGCCCCAGGAGGTGTCTGCTCCAGTGCAGGATGCAGGAGGAGGATCCTCTGTGCACAGCAAAGGCTGAGGCAGTGATTTATTCCCCATCCCAGACACAGAAGTGCACAGAACAGGACACAGCCCAGAGCAGTTTTGGAGCAGCCAGTTTGGCAGGCAGGCAGGCCAGAGAGGGACTCCACTCCTGCTCCCCACACCCACTCCAGGCTGTCACTCCCTGGGCTATGACTGAAGCCTCCAAGGCACCCACAGGTCTGGCTGAGCCCCCAGTGAGCCCCCACCTCCCCAGCACAATGCAAAGCACATGGAGGGGACAGAGGGTGTCAGATAATGCCCCCTCCCTGCCCAAGGCCACCATGCTGCTCTACAGCCTCCTGTCACACACAGATCCCTGCTGAGGGACCTTGGAGGTGGTGGCACCATTCCAAAGTCACCACCACCACTCTGAAGCTGGAGCCAGCTGCTCCTTCCATGCCTGTTTAAATACAGCAGCTTCAGACCACGGAGAAATCCACAGCAGAGTGAGGCTCATGTTCATCTCCCATGGGAGGGAGCCACACATCCTACATACCCCACATATCCCACAGGATGCGCCAGGGCTGGCTAAAAACCCCACTCTGTTGGTGGCCAAGCACAGCCATGTCCATGCTGCTGCCTTGGGCTGGCAGGGAGGACAAACAACCATAGAAAGAGCCTGAGCTGTCTCCCAGCATGGCAGCAGTGGGCAGGGGAGTCTCAAGGCACTTTATTCTCTGCCTTTGCTTCTTGTGCTCAGGCAGCAGCTGCAGAGCTTGAAAGGGGCAGACCTGAAGCTCAACCCCACCACAGTCCAGGAGCAGAGCAATGGGATGCTCCACAGAGATGAAGTGCAAGTCAAAACAGGAGCAGTGAAATAAGAAGTGAGTCAGGACAGATGAGCTCCAGACAGAGCAGAGCGCTCCATCAGCAGAAACCCCCTTGCAGGGCCCCACATCAGTCTCACACTGAGCACAGCACCAACCTCCCAAACTCAGCACTGCTCAGCCCCTGAGAGCTCTCACCTCGTGCCTGAACATAACAGGGAAAGGCTTTCAACCTCTTTCTGCCTATCACAGCAAGAG